GTATATGGTATGTCACTTGCCGTGTTTGATCAACAGTTGTCAAGCGCGCAGAAACCAGGACAACGCTCGTCCGAGGCGGAGGAATATCCCATCCAGCAGAAGTTCTGTACGGAACGTAATTTGTGCATGCGGCATCTCTCGTGGGCTCAGCTCGTCGTCTTCGACAGCGTGCGCCGAGTGCATGGCAACGGCCGCGGGTGCCTTGCGTCCCGAGGACCGATCGTGACAAGCTCCTTTGGTCGCCGGGACGGTATAAAGGCGGAGGAACTGGAAAGTGGGATCTCTTCATTCTCTCCCTCATTACCAGCCAAGACCGGGTCTTGTCGCTCTCTTTCAAGTTCTTCCGTTCTTCGTGCGTAGCGCTGTGCGTTCGTACTACAACAGAGAGTAGGATGCTAATGCCCTCGGACGCTTTGGTCAGGTCGCTGGCGCACCACCCTCCTTCTTGACTTCCTCGATTCAACCGCATCCCCGGTCTCATAACACATTCTCACCATGGTCTCCGTCAAGTCCTTCGCTCTCCTGACTGTCTTCTCTTGCCTGGCCGTGGCTGTGCCCGTCCGCCGCGAAGTTCCCCAAGGTACGTACATTCATGCGCCCCTGGTGATGCTGCTATGGGTTGCTAACAAGTGTCGCAGAGCACTCCCACGAGCCTATCCTCACGAAGGTCCGCCAGAGCCTCAACCTGAACAATCCCGACAAGATCCAGGATCCTGTCTTTGCTCTCCTGGGCGATGCCGCCGCGAAGGCTGGTGCCGGTGACATCACCGTACGTCTCCGATTTTACTGGAGCAAGTGCACCAACACTTATCTATGTTTGTATCACAGGACCTCGCCTGTCTCCAGCAGGCTGTTGCCGACCAAGCCTTCACGAACGCCAAGGCGGCCGGGGACCTCGACGGCATGGTGAACGCGCTCATCTTCCGCGCGATCGAGCGCAACACCGGCGGTGTCGGCGTCAAGAGTGCGCTCTGCACGCAAACGGCGAAGAACCCGGAGGTCGCGGCGCTCACGCAGCACCAGGACCCCGCGTCCGACGGAGCGGCTGCGACCAACAAGGCGATCACGCTCGAGCTTGCGAAGCAGATCGCGTCGATTGGCGGCAACCCACAGGACGCGATCAAGTCCGGCACGTTCGCGCCCGGAGACAAGAACGACAAGACGGGCAAAGGGAATTCATGCGACGACGCTAACGACCCGAACGGCTGCATCTTCACGCAGAACCTCCTCGTCCCCGATGCTACCGCGGACGAGATCAACGCTGCTGTTGCTGGCATCTCCGCAGGGTATGTACTATGCAAATTGTGTCGAGATTGACAGTAGCGCTCACGAATCACCGCCATTATCAGAAACAACGCCTCCGGCACTTCTACTTCCACTGATGACTGCGCCGAAGAGAGTGGGTGTTCTGCAATTCCTGCCCTCTCTTTCACGTACTCACGCCTCCACAGCCGTCACCGTCACGGTGACTGCCACGTCTACCGCCGCCGCGTGAGTAGCTTTCCTGACCGCAGCTTTCGCCGGTTGCCTATGCTGATAATGACTGTCTCAAGCGACGCCACTGCCACCTGCGCGCCGCCCAGTAAGCCACATTCAAGACCACTATAAATTAGACTTCATCCTGACTTTGTTTCCAGGCTCTACGGTCACTGTCACCGTCACCCCTGCTCCCACCGCGAGGCGTTAAGCCACAGTGGCACACTCGACGACGACATTTGGTGATGATTGCTGCACTGCGGAAGGTCATCGAGGATATACCTCCTTCCGCTACCCACTTCTCCACTTCATCTTCTCTCTTTCCTTGGGTACCTGTTTGCAGCAATGTGTGTATTCTTCACTTCAATGGCCCGGTGTTTTCGGTTGTATCGATACGTTTTGCTCGGCTTTTGTGCTTTTGTACCTCGCTCACTGGCAATTCCATCATGATGCTCTGTCACTCTCACTCTAAGCACATAGCTTGGCTGAAGCAGTGGCGGCCCCTGTGTGTTGGATTGCCCTATTAAAGCGGCGGTATCTGGTCTGCCTGCGAAGCTAGCTGTGGACTTGTCGCTCGAAGGCGACCCGAGCGGTACTCGCGTGCATTCGCAATCCGGCCCGGGCGCCACGCCGCAATCCCATGCTCGCGACGCGTCGATCATCGAGCGCGGGGTAGCAAGCTTGTCTCTTGCCATTCCGCCCTTCTCTTCGACCGTGTCTTGCCGCGCGCGTTGCTTAGTCGTGAATCAACTCTACAGCAGTGCGATCTCCTTCACTCTGGCTGCAGGTATCGGAGTGCATACAACGAGCAATTGGACAGAAACCAAGATGTCTGACCGCGGTTACATCAACCTCATCCGCCACCTCACCCGGGCCACCTCCACCCTTCCTCTCGAGACGCTCCAGGCATCCATAGCGCACTACCTCGCGCGTCCACCGGTACCCATACCGGGAACGCCTACCCCGCTCGCTGCAGCTGCACTCAGTAGCCCGCTCTTCCGACCGTACGTCTACACCACCCTCTCAGCGCTCGCGCTTGCGTTCCGGCATGCCGTGCACCTCCGCGTCGGAGTGCTGAAAGAGGAGGCGGAGACCCACCCTGGAGGCCTCTTCTCAAGGGGCGTGAACGTCCGCGCGAAGCTCGCACGATGGACAGGGGAGGTGAGGGAGGGCCTCAAGGGGAGCGGGGCCTTGGTCCGCCTGGCGTGCGCATCGGGACTATTGTTGGGTCTGGAGGATTGGGAGGCAGAGCTGACACTGAAGGAGAAGGAGGCGAAAGCCCGCGCCAAGGTTGAGGAAGAGGTGATACTGGCGTTAGCGGAGCTCGTGGACCAGTATGCCGGGGTGGGAAGCGGGTGGGAGAAGGATTTCCAACGGACGGTTGGATCCAAGGGCGAGGAAGGTCAGTCGAGGCGGCTAGCTCGTCCCTGACAATCATCATGTGCTGTCCTGACCGCCTGCCCCTTGACAGACCCTCTTGCTCTCTCCGTGCTCCTGGCCTCCCAGTGTGCCCAGTGCGTTGCTGCCGAACGGCTGCAGGCGCTGCCTCTCCCTGTATGCGTGCCCTTTATGCGTATACAATGTCTACTGACGACCAGTGCAGACCGTCATAGACGTGATAATGACCACTATATACCGTGCATTCTACAGCGGAGCATTCCTCCTCAGCGCGAGCATGTCCATCAACACGACCGCAGAGGGCAAGACTGCGATCTCGGTATGTCTCCCCTACTTTTGCAGTCGAGCTGCAGCTGTCGCAGACAGGCTGATTCTACCATCTGTAGTCGGCTAGCCCCTTCGCGCAGACCATCCGCTCGGTCGCGGGCTCAGCGTACATCGCCTCCATGTCGGGCCTCGCACGATTCACAGCACGGTCGCTCACTGTCCTAGTGGAATCCCGACGAGATGCAGGCTGGGAAGCCATTGGACAGATCTTGCGACGCCTGCAGCTTCTCACGTCCTTGGTTGAAGAGCACTGGGAGAAGTGTCCTCTGGCCTATGTTGTAAGGGACGAAGAGCTAGCTGGCAAGTTGATTCTCGCCTCGCATGTCAGTGCATAAGAGGATAACCCTCCTGCTGCAGATGAGGGGACACGCGAGATCGCGACGGCAACCTGGTCAATCCTGAAAACGCTCCTTTTCACCACGCTCATGCTAGCGCAATCTGTCCTATCCGCTATTGTCTTCGTACCCGGCCCACAGGCGGATCACCCAACTCCAACCCAAACATCACATACGCCTTCTGCTCGCCTGCCGCAAGACATTGCGCTCAACGTCCTGCATATTCTGTCTCACCTGTCCTTCGTGATGCCTCAATTCGGCGGAGTCGCTTCCACATCCGAGGGCGGCCTGCCCGAGCTGAAGCGCGCGTTCTATATGGCGCTGGACGTGCTGGCGTCGAGCGAAGTAGCGGCTGAGCGGTTTGTCGTCGAGTTATGCCAGAGGGAGGGCAATGTCGGGAAGGGAAAAGGTCCGTATATGCTTCTCTGCTCAACGTGCGGCGTCGATTAAGTCATGTCACGATGGTGCAGGCGTAGACAGCGTGGCCCGGTCACTGCTGGATGCCCGGAAAGCCTTTTCTCTGGCTTGCGTAGAACAGCTGGTTCCAATCCTTCCCGAAGGGATCATCGAGGCACAGGTCTATCCGCTATGTCTTCCGTACGTGTCACCACCTGTCTCGCGTACTCAGACATTGACGCTACTCGCCCAAACTCAGGCACCTATGGGACTCAAGTCACAGGGAGACGTACGAGTCTGCACACTCGGTCATGCTCTCCATCTTCGCTGCCCACGCACAGAATGCGGAGAAGCGTGCGGACGACCGCGAGTCAGCACCTCCATTTGCCGAGAAGCTGGTGCCGATGTATGCGCGGTGTTTACTCGAGGTACGTCGTGCCACTAGGTGTCTTCGCGTGGGGAAGCTCGCAACTGATGCATATGGCGTAGAACTCTTCGGACGGACGGCTGAGTACGACTCAGTTGTGCATGGCGTATGCAGCGCTCGTGAGGAGCGCGAGCTCCTTCAGGAGGCGCGCAGGTGCGAACAAGAGCTCGGAAGGAGACACGATGGCGTGGTACTGCCTCGACGTCCTCCTGGACGCGATTCGGAACGAGAGTTCCGCGACGCCTCCACATCCTTCGGCCTCTCAGCCTTCGGAGCATCTCCACCGCCTGCACCTCGCCCTCATCGCGTCAGTCCCCTCGGTCTCACTTACCCTCCTGCCCCGCTTGCTAGATGAGGTCAAGAGGGTGATCGCATCGTGTCCGACGGAGAGTCGAGGAGGGCAGATGCGGTACGAGCTCGTGCAGATGCTATTCAAGGGAATCCTGCAGGACGTCGGGGACTCAGAGAAGGAGTATGTGATTGGATGGTGGTATGAGTATCGGGAAGACTTGGTGGGAAGGAGTTCTCGGTTTACGGAGAGCGAGGGCTCGAGCGTCGCTCGACTATAGGATTCCTCGCATCTGTGTTGTCGTTTCTCTTGCTAGCTGCAACTTTGGGAATCGTTTGCTAGGCGCAAAAAGTGGTTCAGGCCAGGATCGAACTGACGACCGCCTGTGTACGCGAGTGTAAGACAGGAGTGATAACCACTACACCACTGAACCCTTGTGAGGTTCAGGCCTTAGAGCCCTATGTACAGGGTGTAAGTCACTGCCGGCGGTATGGGGATCGCTATAAAACCCGTGACGTGCGCTCTAGACCGGATGCGGGGTAGCGGATTGCCGGAGGGACGTACTTAGGCGGGGGAGGCGGGAGGAAAGTGGTTAGCAGCCTCTTAGCATTTCCTGGCGATCTAGCTTTGTATACCGCACCACTACCGATTGACAGCGCCCCTCTATCCCCACGCTTCATATACCTCAGCACTGTTAGCGGGAAAGGCGGACGGACCTGAAGTCTCTCTGTCTTTACACCCGCACCCTGAACCACCGACGACTACCAGCTGCTTATGTTCCAATCAACGAGACGCGTTGCTTCGATCCGGTCTCTGTCTCTTCTGGTACGTGATTACTTCGTGCCTTGGCTGCTTCTCGAGGGGTTCTTGGCTTCTCGGGGCATGGTGGGAAGGTCGTCATTAGAACGGCAGGGCGTGCCGGAAGAGTTCGAGTGAATGTGGGAATGAGAACACTCGAGCTGAGAGTAGCCGTGACGCCGGATGCGCAGGCCGCGAATATTTGCAAGTGCGCGAGTAGCCTGTGGTCTTCTCGTCTGCGTCGCGATGTACACGGGTTTCCTCGTCTCGAAGCCTGAGTATCTCTACTGCCTCCGGGCTTCAACGCTTTCCTATCTCATCTGATGACGCATTTCTACTACCCTTGAGCGACGGCCACTGACAGCCTCGCCCTGCAGTCTCAGTCCCATAGGCCTGCAATAGTCATGCCCAAAGCCTTCAAGTCTTCCGCGCCCCCACGCAATCAGCCCAAAGTGAACGCCGAATACGTCGCCAACGAGTCGGCCCCGCCTATGCTCAGGTGGGAAGAGTCGCTTCCGCGGCTGCCCGTTCCGGAGCTTTCCTCCACTGCCGCCAAGTACCTCGAGACGGTGGAGCCGCACCTCACGCGCGAGCAGTTTGCCAAGACGCAGGCGGCCGTGAAGGCGTTCGTCGAATCGGAGGGGCGGGTGCTGCAGGAGCGCCTGCGCGGGCTCGCGGCGAATGCAAACGTGAAGAACTGGCTGGCGGACTGGTGGAACGAGACGGCGTACATGGGGTACCGCGACCCCGTGGTCGTGTTCGTGAGTTACTACTATCTACATGTGGACGACAAGACGCGGCCTAGCCAGGCGAAGAGGGCGGCCCAGCTCTTGAAGTCGATGTTGCCGTTCAGGCAACTGGTCGAGAGGTACGTCACAGGCATCTCGAGCTGCGAGCATCTGCTGACGGGTCCCACAGGAAAGAGCTGGAAGTCGAGATAGTGCGCGGCAGTCCTCTCACGATGTCTTCCTACGAATGGCTGTAATTCCCCTCCCTCTTCGCTCTGTGACACACGCGCTGACGTCGCTCGCAGCTTCCACGCATGCCGCTACCCCGTGAAGCCTTCGGACACCGCGAAGAAGTTCGACGCCACGAAGCACAACCACGTTGTCTTTGTGCGGAAGAACAAGTTCTACAAGGTCGCGCTCGCGGACGCGTCCGGGCGCGAGCTGTCCGCGCCGGAGCTCGAGGCGCAGATTGAGAAGGTCATTGAGTTGGCGGGGAACGAGAAGGCTGTGCCCGTCGGTGCGCTCACCTCAGAAAACCGTGACATCTGGACGGACGTGAGTGGCTCTCAATATGTGCACGTGTTGAGTGGAAGTTCACTATGTGTCTAGGCTCGCGCTGCTCTGCTTGCTGCCTCTCCGTCCAATGCGGCGACGCTGGAGGAGATCGAGTCCGCGATGATGATCGTGTGTCTGGACGACACGAAGCCTGTGACGCGCGAAGAGGCGAGCTGGCAGTGCTGGGTCGGCGACGGCAGGAACCGTTTCTTCGACAAGCACCAGCGTGCGTTTTCTCGTCTCCTTCGTTCGAGAACCCGTACTCACCTTCGTCTGGTCGCGCAGTGATCGTCTTCGAGAACGGCAAGTCCGGCTTCCTCGGCGAGCACTCGTGCATGGACGGCACGCCCACGCTCCGCATGAACGAGTTCGTCCTCGGCTCCCTCGCGCACGGAAAGGTCGACCTGGGGTCCCCACGGGACAAGTCCGCTCTGTCGTCCCTCCCTCCCCCGCAGGAGCTCACCTTCACGCTCGACGCCCGCACGCGCACGTACATTTCCGAGGCCGAGTCGCACTTCGACGCGCTCGTGGCGAGGCACGACATGGAGGTGCTGCACTACGACGCGTACGGGAAGGAGGCGATCAAGGCGTTCAAGGCGTCGCCGGACGCGTGGGCGCAGATGGTCAAGCAGCTCGCGTTCCACAAGATGTTCGGCCGCCCGGGCGTGTGCTACGAGAGCGCGCAAACGCGCAAGTTCCATTCCGGACGGACGGAGGTGATTCGCAGCGCGAGTAAGGAGAGCAAGGCGTGGGCTGAGGCAATGCTCGATCCCAAGCAAACGGTATTTTCATATACCCAGGCTCCTCTCAGGGGGGGAGGTGCTGACGAATGTTTTACAGGACCAGCAACGCGCCGCGCTCTTCCGCAAGGCGATCGCGCGGCACCTACAATACGCCGCGTGGGCCGGTGAGGGCCAGGGCGTCGATCGCCATCTCTTCGGTCTCAAGAAGTGCCTGAAGGAGGGCGAACCGCTCCCCCAGATCTATCAGGACGAGGCCTATGCGAAGACGAGCCATTGGGAGCTGTCGACGTCCCAGCTCTCCTCGCCCTACCTTGACGGCTGGGGCTACGGAGAAGGTGAGCTCCCCTTCATCTAGTGCTTGTCTTGTGCATGGACGCTGATTCCACTCTTCAGTCGTTCCTGATGGTTACGGCCTGTCGTACTCGATCGGCGATGAGTACATCCGCTGGACGATCACCAGCCTCAAGCGGCGCACCGCTGAGTTTAAGCGCTGTCTCGAGGAGGCCGCGACGGAGACTCATGAGATGATGAAGCGGGCGGCTGCGGCAGAGGAGCAGAAGAAGGCCAAGCTCTGAGGCTCTCATCAGGATGTAATTGCTTGTTATAATACCGTGGTAATGTAGTCGGGCACCCGTCCTTGGAAGCTGCCCGCACGCAGTCGTCTCGTGAAAACGTATGATCATCCATGTCGGAGGTCATCAGTATGTCCAAGCACTCGTGAAGTTCAAGAAAAGGTACATGTCCGTATATCATCCAATGTCCAAGACCGCTGTGAGCCTGAGGCTCGGGCGGCACTACGAGCAGAGCTTGTCAGCGACCTCCTGGACCAGCTTCCGCACCTCTGGCTTCTGTACACCGTTCTCCCCGCATCCACCTTTCGCTAGCTTGCTCTTCAGCGCCTCTCGCGATTGCAGCACCTCGAGCAGGCCCTTCAGCTGGCTCTCGTAGAACGGCGATAGTCGAAGGAGGAACGCGAGGGCTGCTGTCAATCGGTGCACTATCACGACACGTCAGCGCTCCTATGCAGCATACTATGGACGCATAAATACTCACCGACTTCCTCGCTCTGCGTCTCATTTCCGAGCGCCTCAAGCACGGCACTGACCAACTCGACCTCCCACTCCTCGTCTTCCTCTACTTCCATCGGCACCGACCCAGCCGTGACGCCCCTCAGCTTCTCGATTCTGCTCCTCTGCAGCGCCGCGGCGACGTTGAACGCCAGACTCGCCGCCGCCGTGCGCACCGCCGCGTCGTCGTGCAGGAGCGCCGCGACGACGACGCGCGTGACCTGCGCGCGCTTGCCCCCGGGGGCAGAGCGCGAGAGGAGTGTCTTCCCGAGCGCGGTGTGCGCGAAGCCGTTCGCGAGCGTGCGGAGGAGTGTGAGCAGGAAGTTGCGCGCGCTGGATTTCTGGGAGGGGTCGGCGCTGTCAAGTACTGCGAGCGCCTTGTCGAGGAAGAGCTGCAGTGGGTCTGTGGCTGCTGAGGCTGAGGTAGCGAGCCAATTTGCTACTGCGTCGTCGAGAACGGCGAGCCGCCACATATCCACCAACGGGAAGAGCTGTGATGGAGGAAGGGCCTTTGCGATGGTTCGTGTGGTTGCAGCCCAGCTATTGAGCAGCGGCGCAGGCGTAGGGAACGCGGGTTTCTTCGCCGTTTCGGCGGCGGAGCCCTTCTCGGGGAAGCGCGTCTTGAGCAGGGGCACTATGGCACTGGTGAGAGCCTGCTTAGCGGTCTGGAGTTCTGGTGAGGAGGGCGCGCCGTCGATGAAGGATGCTAGCTTGGTGGAAACGGTGTCTAGCGCGGGGACTTGGGTGAAGAGGATGGGATTGGTGGAGAGCGCCTCTACGGCGGGCAGGAAGAGCTTCGTGTGTGGGTGTGCTGTGCGGCTCTAGTCAACACACAGTCCCCTATTATACGAGGCTGTATACGTACGAGGGAAGGCCTGGTATAGGAGCAAGTCTACTTGCGAGCGCAGTTCTGCTGCATTAGCGCCTTTCATCTCCTCGACCTGTCAAGGGGAAATCAGTCACTAGCGGACAAATCCAAGCGCATGCTGACGTCTATACCTTCTTTCCGTCCAAGAAGAACAGGAACGTCGGTGTGACCCTCACGCCCCACTCGCCGGCAACCTGACTGCCCATCCCAACAGCCATGTCGACCTTCACAAACGCAACGCGCCCGCTCCCCATCCCATGCGTCTTCTGATGTGCGAGGTCCTCAAAAACCGGCTCAATCATCCTGCACGGCGGGCACGTCGGCGACGTGAATAACACGACCGCTGCGCGGTGCGATTGCAATAGCGAGCGCAGAGAAGAAGGATTCGTGCACATATGAATGGGACCTGCAACGGTGGACGAGTCCGGGTTGACCGTCGGCATGGAGGTAGGCGCAGAGAGCGAGCCGGTGGAATACGCTTGGGAGGCGACGGCTTGGAGGAGCGCGGAGGCGAGCGCGGGGTTGGGTGAGGCGGAGGCCGCGGCGTTGAGCGTCTCGGGCGCGGGGAGTTGGGGCGCTGCTGGGGTCGCTGCTCCGGAGACTGGGCGGCGGAACATGGCGTCTATGGTTGGGCGGAGTGCTGCTCCGAAGGGAGTGGAGAGGAAGTCGGAGGG